TAATAATAATAATAATAATAATAATAATAATAATAATAATAATAATAATAATAGTGATAATAATAATAATATTAATATTAGTAATAATAGTAAATTATGATGTAAATAGCAATCCTCATCAACATCATCATTATTATTATTATTATTGTTATTATTGTTATTAGTTTTATTTTTCATTACTACTATAACTACTGCTACTATTTTTGTCATTATCATTGTTATTATTATTATCATTTTAAGTAATTTCGTGTTGCTGGTAAGGATGATGGTAATAAAAATTAAGATAATATTTATAAAGAAAATGATACTCATATTGTTATGTATACATTTATAGCATCAAATGATATGGTTTAGCTCATAATTCCCTTTTTTTAAACTTCTTTGAGCATCAAACACCCCATAACAGGGAAAAAAACAACAATAAGAAACAAACAAACAGCATGAAGAAAGAGGAAGGAAAATCGTACGTATAACCACTACTTGGCAACTCGCATACCGTGACGTCATCAGAGCAGGACAGACAACTTGGTGGCGGAAGGTGGGGGTGGGGGTGGGGGTGGGGTGGGGAGTGGGTGAAGTGGTAGGGGGAATTGGTGGGGATGAACGAAGGCCTGGGGGGTGGGGGTGAAGGGATGGGGGTTGGGGGTGAAGGGATGGGGGTGGGGGTGAAGGGATGGGGGGGTGGGGGGTGAATGAAAGGCCGTGGAAATCAGTGATGCATAAAGCTACCATCATCAAGATCTAAGCTTTTGGGAGAGGATCTGTTCATCGACCTCGGCAGATGTGCTTATGGTGGGGATGTAGAGAGACGAGGGAGGTTAGTGGGGTTGGTGGGGGTAGGAGAGAAGGTGGGGGGAAGGGATTTGGTGGGGATGGAGGGGGGAGGGGGGATGGGCGAGGAAGGTTTGGTGGGGATGGGAGAAGATATGAGGAGAAGGGGGTGGGTGTGAATGGAGGGGGAGGGGGGAGAGGAGGGAGGTTAGTGGGGTAGGTGGGGGATAGGAGAGGAAATGTGGGGGGGGGAGGAGTTAGTGGGGATGGAGGGGGGAAGTTGGAGGGGAAGGAGAACGGTGGGCTTGCTGGGGATGGGAGAGGAGGGAAGTTAGCGAGGGGGTGATAGGGAGAAAGGAAGGAAAGGTAGTTGGAATGGGAAGGGGAAGGGGAGAGGCTAAATGGTGGGAGAGAGAGGTAAGAACTGAAGGAAAGAGAAAAGAGGGGATAGCAGTGTAGAGAGATATAGTGAAAACGGGAGGGAGTAAAGGATATATGCAAATGAGGAGAGTATATTGAGGATGGAAGTGTAGAGAAAGATATAGTAAAGGAAGTACGTAGAGAGGGGTTAGGGGGTAGGAGTTATAAAGTGAGGAGGTAGGGGGGAGGGGGGGGTATGTTATTCACTCGGGAGACCTATATTTCTGTGGGATGAAATATATTGGAGTTTTGGTAGCGAGACGTGGAATATGAAACAGATTCGGTGGCTGTTTCTCTCTATCATTTTTCCCCTCTTTTTTTTCTGCATGGTCTGTCCTAGGCTATTAATGTATTTGTATATTAGCATTGGAGTATTTTTGTGCAAGTGGCTCGGAATACTGATATTGATATGTATGAGCGTATGTAGGCAAGCAGATCACACAAACGCACGTGTACACACAGACATTCTTTCTTGCACACGTGCTAAAAGCCAAACAAGCACATACATACGAACACATCCAAGCAAACACAAACAGACACATATCTTCAAGCAAACACAAACAATAACAAGGATTTAAAAAAAACACAGTTTTCTTATAAAATCACAGACACACACACACACATGTACCCTTTACAAACAAACGCACACAGACATAAAAGAACGCACACACGAGACAAACATACTGACAAAAGGGCATAATGAATTCCAAATTTCGTCATTCATCTTATTCATCTACATTCGTGAGATGACTAAAATATTCGCTTTTTTATGGGATCTCCGTCTCTCTGCTTTACTGCCATTAAAAGCAAGTCGCTGGAAACTGGATGATCTGATGTCATTACGAAAGAGGGGGGGGGGTGTTAGGTTTCTGTGTTACTTCTGTGTGTCTGTTGGTCTCTCTTACGTTTTGTCTGTTGTGTTTTGTTTATCCTCTTTTTCTGGTTTCCATGTCTTTATATCTGTCTGTTTGTCTGTTTGTTTGTGCCTGTTTGTCATTGTCTCGTTCTCTGCATCTGACTGTCTGTTTGTCATTCTGTCAGTCTCTCTCTCTCTCTCTCTCTCTCTCTCTCTCTCTCTCTCTCTCTCTCTCTCTCTCTCTCTCTCTCTCTCTCTCTCTCTCTCTCTCTCTCTCTCTCTCTCTCTCTCTCTCATTTTCTCTGCCTTTCTCTCACTCTCAGTCTCAATCTCACTCTTTCTTATCCCCTCTCTGTATATTGCCCTTCGCATTATGTACGTAAAGAATTACGTACACAAGTATTTTTCCCCTTAGCCATTTTCAATTTCCTCCTCACGGTATTAGGACTTATATCATACTTAAGATCAATTTGTCGTTGGCAACATAATCCCGGATAAATCGTCAAGACTTGATTTTCAAAGTATTATATTTTCTTAATATAAAAACACACACATGCACGCACACACAAACATATGCTCACGAGCAATACAGAAACGGGAGTTATGATATATATATATATATATATATATATATATATATATATATATATATATATATATATATATATATATATATATACACATGAGTTGTCGTATGTTTATATACACACTCATTTTTTCCCCTTTTCTTATGAATAATCTCAAATTCCGTAAAAACTGCCCCTGGCCT